CGTAGTAAATGCAATATAAAATGCAAAGGGAATCTTCGCTGCGCCAGTGAGTCGAGCCGATCAAAAAGAACTCGGCCGTCGACGATGCGGTCAAGTGGGAGGAGCTGGCACTGGGGTGAACTTGCCAATAGATGAGAACAGTGTTCCGTGTGAGCCGAACCTGCACCTTGTAAAGTTGCAAGCGGTGAGCCGGCATGAAATACTGTCCCGCTCTGCTGCGTACGTCAAGCTATTTAGAAGCCAATTTTGCCTTCCCGTCGCCTTCATTCGATATGTTTATGGCTAGGATTTCGATGCTGGCAGAATTAGCAAGCATGGTGAGTGCCCTAAAAAACTAAAATTGAAAAGATACGGCAAAGAGGGTTATTTTTACCGGTAAACGCGCAAACCTGTGTCTTCTGAGGGTTAAACTGGACTAGATTTAATCGTACCCAATCCGAGCCTGTTCAACAACGATTCGACTTCAAACACAAGTTTGTTCCGGTATTCGACGATGTGATCCTGAGAAATAGTGGCACGGCCGGTGCATAAAGCATAGGTGATAACACGCAGCCATGTGGAACACCATAATTAATAGTCTTGTAATCGGAGTATGCACCGTCTACTACGACCATGATGCTCCGATCAGCAAAGAAACTAGTGATCCAATTGCACAATTTTTCGGGAAGCCCATAGGAAGGAAGCTTCGAATGGATCCGCTTTGTGCCAAACTCGATCGAAGGCCTCCATTATGTCCAAAACTAACGGCCAAGGCCTCCCCTTGGACTCTCTTGTATCATCTAACCGAAGCAATGTGATCTTTGTGTGAGACGAAATGGGAGACGACATACCAACCGACGAACAATACCAATTTATAACCAATCAAGTCTATGTTTAATAAAAATATCTTAAGCGGTTTTAGAATTTTACTATTCTGAAATTCATGTCAGTTCACGCGACTTAGTTTACATATAAAGTTACGAAATATGAGGCTATTGTTATAATTATCAGTAAAATAGGAGTGGTAAGGCATTATTAAAAATATCTGTACAGCTGTAATATTTAACGCGGACACAGTTACGTGTGAACTGCGACACGCGAAACTTTCACTTTCCAAAATGGTTAATTCGAAAGTTACATCTTTATGTTTATGTAATATGTTAAAAAGACAAGATTATATTTGATATTATGCATTGATTTAGATGTTTTTTTTTTTAATTTGCATCAATTCAAAGCTATATGAAAAGAGTAAAATAATATGTGGTAGAGTCTTGCTGCTGATATATTATGGCTATAGCATAAATAGGTTGGTTTAACCAGGTAAGGTTCACACTCACAGAATAACAGCATGAAATAGCAGCTTCATGTTCCTTTGTTTCATGTGGTAAGTGTAGAGAAAACATGGCAGATAGATTATATGAGTCCTAAAACATACTATAAAACAAAGTCGCTCGCCGCCGTCTGTACTTTCCGTACTGTCTTTTAAATTACGCAATGGATTTGGATGCGGTTTTCATCAATAGACAGAATGATTCAAGAGGAAGGTTTATATGTATAATACATGCATATTATATAATTGTGCTGTCCGTGTGTATGTGACTGAACTCCTCCTAAATGGCTGAACCGATTTTTATAAAATCTTGTGTGTGATTAAATTGATTAGAGAATTTTTTAGATTCACAATTAGACCCGATAGGTGGCACTGTTGTCGAGATCCAGAAATCAACCGTGCGAAGCCGGGGTGGATCGCTAGTGAGTTCTAAAATAACTATACAAGCAAGTGGGTGTTTACAAGCTGATGCTAAATGAAACAATTAAGTATACATATATAATGTCCATTGGAGATTGTTAGTATTTTTGTGGCAAAGTGCCAAGTAAGTAAATGTTTCAAATCAAAGTAGTGTTGTTTATTGCCAATATAGTAAGTTTATTTTGGGCAACATTGGTAAAAACATTTGACAAACCTTGATAAACAATTACTGATGAAGACATTTAAAAGTAATAAGCTTAGTAAAATAATAGTCTATTACTAATACCAGGTACAAATACCACATTATTACAATAACAACCAGGTAAAAACTTTAATGAGATTTCTTTTACTTGGTATTTGTGTGAAATAACCAACACCACTACTGTAAAATTTGAAAGGGTCATAGATGTTCTATTCATTCCTAGGCTTTATAATTGCAGAATGAACATGAAAATATGCTGACAAGAATCAGGAACACCCTGACCTCACTGGATGATTTATATATTATGCAAAGCAGCAAATGGCTAAAATGGCAAAAATCTTATACCTATTACAATTGGCATTTTGTTTGTTCAACAATACAACCAGTCCCTCAACTTACTAGATGTCTATATCTGACATAGAACTACATAGGCTGCACTAAAAGTATTGGGAATGGAATATTTCCACTGTTCCTGTCATATTAAAATCTTTTTAATTGAAAAGTCCTTGGTTTTTAAATTCTAATACCATTTATTTATTTAAAAAAAGATTCTCGGTCTTGTCACAAGGTTTTGTCAAACTTGTTTAGTCGTTGAGAAAATGGAATTGACTCGAGAAAATTCAAGAGAGATGATTTATTATGACTTTGTGATTGTGACTGAAGTGGTTTAACACAAAAACAGTGTGTTGACCGAATGATTTCTGCATTTGGTGATGAAGCCCCATCCAAAACCACAATTTATTGCTGGTTTGCTGAATTTCAACGTGGATGTGTCAAGCTCAGTGATGATCCCCGTCAAGGTCGTCCAAAAACTGCAGTCACCCAAGAAAACGTTGATGCTGTGCGTAAGCTGATTGAGGAAGATCGACATGTGACATACCACGAAATTCAGGCAACTTTAGACATTGGCATGAGTCAAATACAAATAATCTTGCATGAACAATTAGGTGTAAAAAAGTTGTTTTCCCGATGGATACCGCAATCGCTCTGTGAAGAGCAAAAAGCGGCTCGCGTTACTTGGTGCGTCAGAACTCTCGAAAGATTGCACGCAGGATCCTCAAATGCTGTATACAACATCGTATTCGACACGCGTACGAACCCGAAACAAAAAACCAGTCACGAGTTTGGGTACTCGAAAATGAGTTATAGCCAACAAAAATTGTTCGTTCACGGAGTGTTGCAAAAAAAATGGTGGCCACGTTTGTCTCCAAAACCGGCCATGTTACGACTATTCCTCTTGAGGGACAAAGAACGGTTAATGCAGAATGGTATGCTAGCATTTGTTTGCCACAGGTCGTTTCTGAACTCCGTAAAGAGAACTGCAACTGCCGCATCATCCTCCATCACGACAATGCGAGTTCTCACACTGCACACAGAACAAAAGAGTTTTTAGAGCAAGAAAACATAGAATTATTAGACCATCCGCCGTACAGCCCCGACCTAAGCCCTAATGATTTCAATACTTTCCCTAAAATAAAGAATAAATTGCGTGGACAGAGATTTTCATCACCTGAAGAAGCTGTGGATGCCTACAAAATGGCCATTTTGGACTGGCCACTTCCGAATGGAATGGTTGCATCAATGATTGGTTCCATCTTATGGAAAAATGTGTCAAATTTCGCGGAGAATACTTCGAAAAGCAATAAATACATTTTTAAATAGTAATGTTGTGTCACTTCCTTGATTCCCAAAATTTTCAGTGCCGCCCTCGTATATCATATTATTTAGCTGATATTTTTAATCACTTAAGAAATAAGAAATCCCATTTCTTTACTCTTTCTTTTAGTAACTTACAGTTAAAATTATGCAATGTTGCAAAGGACAACTCATCTTAAAATTAATCACACCTACACCTACACCTACACTTTAAGTGAGCAATTCTTTTATGTAAAATGTAATTGTTCTTTCAGAAATGGCTCTGGAAATTTGGATGAAATTTAATATTTAGGTAATATTTTCTTTTCCAAGTTTATCTAGATAAATTTCATTCCTAAGAGTAATATTTTACTAACACTGAGCAAAGCTTGTTCTTCCAGTTATAGTTGCCGGCTTCTAACAAAATTACTTCTGCGCATCTAATGAATTTTGCCAGATTCATTAGATGCGCAGAAGTAATTTTTATATATCTTTAGTTATCAAACAGGGAGTGGGAATGAAGTAGCATCGTTCCAAGCACACGATTGGTTGGCCAGTCGACCCTTGCCTCCTGCAATGTGTCTACGTCCCATTGTACATGCGTACTTTCCTCCACTACGCCAAAACTGTGCCAAGTTAGTTGCCATATTACTATACTGTTTTACACTTCCATAATATATTAGAACAATGTTTAGTCATAATTGTAAGGGCAAACACCAAAACTAACCCACATACATACATGCAGTAACATTCACAAGAAAAGCATGGAGCTACAATACTAAAAACCCGTCAAGCAGTAATTATAAAAATGGTAAAGTGCAACAGTACAGTACATTTTACAGAAATTTAGTAACCACAACCAAAAATGCAACTTAAAATAACCATTAATGAAGACATTGAACAGAGACTAATAGGAAATGCAAGTCTTTGGAAACATGACCCCTTTTTCTTCTCTAACCAGCAGTCTTACAAATGCAAATATTGTTGTTTTCTGACAGAATTTTCAGTTTCAATTCTAATATTAGTGTAGTTATATAATAGTTTAAAATAATAATATTAACATTTATAAAATAAAAACATCAAATTGATATACTATGAATAGTAATTAATAAAAAAAACTAATTTTCTATGCTGTTTAAATGTCTTAGGCTAAGTTCATAGGACCGTGCAGTACAAGATCAAAAACATGTCGATTAGGCTAAGTTCATATGACTGCGCGAAGCCACGCATCACCGTGCGGTGATGTAGACGATAATTGCCATTTACTTTGATCTTGTATGTGGCCATATGAACTTAGCCTTAAGCTGGGGATTACCCATAAACCCATACCCATAAACAATTGCTACTTTTACTTTAAATTATTTCAGCTCCTGTACCAGTTTACAATTAATGGTTGTTTTAAGTAGGTAAAACTTAAATGATTAGAGATATTATTTACCTTAGCATAATTCTGAAATCTTCCAACTGTCGAATACTGTTTGAGAGCCTTGCAAATGCATTAAAAAGTGCTACAATTTCAGTTCTTTGGAGTCTCTTATTCGCCTTATGTCTCACTGGCAGCTTGCCCTGTTCTGGGTCACCCTCAAGACTGTCCCACTGTGAAGAGAAAAGAATTTTCAAGGCAGTACCTAAGCCCTGGGTCTGAAGCTTACCCCATAATTTGCACTTGTCACAACCCACACAGTCCATAATCCGTGAAATATTCCAAAAGTGCTCACGAAACTCATTTTTCAGCTTCGCGGCTTGACTGCCACCATTGAACATTGATGATTCATTGAAATGGTCAGGGAATGTATATATAATACTCAGCATATTGCTGATTGCCTCTCGAGTCTCCTCATCCTCTGTAGGGTTGCCTGTGAAATATTCCTCTGTTTCTAAGTAAGGGCCAGCCTTAGCAAGGGCTCGCATTTCTAATAAATATACAAAGTATAAATTTTTCAACCAGTTAGGACCTTCTCCATGTGTCTGGGATGGATCAAAGCGACGTTGAAATTCAGCTAAATTTGGCCCCCACTCTCCTTCAGGTGGTGCAGCAAATCCAACACCTTTTTCAGACAGTAAATAATTTGAACACAAATGAATATTAATACTGCTATGCAAACCTGATATTGCTCTATAGAATACTCTCTTCTCCAGACAAAGGTTGCTCAAATCTGAACTCAGGACATATGGGAATGATTCATATGGGTTTAGTCTAGGTCTAAAGCAGTTTTCCTGGTAAATACTCCTCCAAATTCTGTGTGCAGAGGAGCCCTTATAACCAGTATATCTTTCTGGATTAAGAGAAAGATCCACATATTCAGCTTCAGCATCTCTATCATCACACTCACAAAAATTCTCCAATGCACTATCATGAGCATTCCATTTTGCTATTTCGAACTGGCTTGCTGCACTTATGGTCATGTTTAAATAACCTAAATCTGGATTATGGTCTTCATCAGTGCTGCAAGCAGTCTGAGCTTCTTTTGAATATTTCATTGCAGGTGCTTCATCATTATCATTATTGTATCCATTTGCATATCCCGGAACACTTTCCTTAGCGCAAGTTTTAATGTGACAATATTTCATGGCGCATCTACTGTCATCCGCCCAGAAAGGGCATTCTTTTTTTAAATTGACCTTATAGAAGCGGAAATAGTCTTTACTCACTAAACTCTGGATGCGGGGAAATATCTTCACATTATTGAAATAGTCAATAGTATCAACATTGCATGAACAATCTCCTAACGCACCACGAAGAGCATCAAAGCAAGCGTTGTTGTCGCAAGGAGCAGTTTCAAATAGTTCAGTGTCGTAACCAACGGCTTGGACTATCACCAGAGTGAAAATTATAAACACAATACAACAATTTCTCGATTCCATTTCCAAGAAAAACCTGTTTGCACTATTAAATTTAGAAAATAAATCTAACACTCCAGTGGCCACCTTCACTGATCATTTAACATCTGGTTATTGACATCACCGTTTTTAAAAAATATTAATTTCTCACTTCGAAAATACAAACAAAATGAATTGGGTAAACCTAACGAGACACAAACGTTTCATCATAATTATGCTTGCAAAAACGATTGAGCGACGAAGCGATAAGGAATTTGACTATACGTGAGAGACTGACAGACTGAGAGATGATGTTGATATGTGTCAACTGTCAATGTCAAATTTATTAATTGTCATAGGAGATTTTTTATTACTTATTAATTTTTTTGACGTAGATGCTTATTCTTTAAGCCACGTCTTCATTTCATTCGGGATCATCGTGTTTATAGATTTTCAGTATCAAAAGATAATAATCCACAATAGTTCACCGCCTCACAATATATTGATGCGTCACGCTGCGTAGCTTTTGGAAGATTTTGACGACAACTTGACCCAGCAGACAGTTGGCGATAGTATCTCAAGACACCTGAGCGAGGAGACAAACCTTATCATTAGATATGAGGAACGGATAACGATGATGATTAAATAAACACAAAAATCTAATGAAGTTACTGCCACAGAAAAAGGTTCAATTTATTATATAGCTGCCTTTTTGTCATATATTTTGAATGACAGAACGCAATAAAAGAATTAAATAAAAATGGTAGAGCCATGCTGCAGCTCTATTAATTTTATAGTTATAGCGCGAATGGGTCGGCTTGACCGGGGTAAGACCACGCTCTCACAGAATACTAGCGTAAAATAGCAGCTTAATGCTGCTTTGTTTCATATGGCGAGTGTAGAGAACTGAAGGCCCTTTTTACTGGGAAAGAGGTATTCCAACTTAGTCCTTACGGCTGGCCACGCATTTGCATTTTGATTCGCAAACGAAGATAGATGTAGATGTCTATGGGGCACAGCAACCACTTACCATCAGGTGGAATGTGTGCTCGCTTGTCACTTGTATCCTATGAAAAACTGGTTGCTGCATGGCGATTGATGGAATAGGTGTTAATGAAGACACATAAAAATATATTTTCCTATGACCAACTTCACGAAATGACATTGTTCTGCGTCCATACAATGTTCGCCTAAGAAACAACAGTGAAAAAAATACTTTTTAAGTCCGAAATTACACATATTTGTATGTAAGAACAATAACTCCTGACGGACACTTCTGAAAACATAGATAGATAAATTTTCATAGAAATTTTGAGGTTATGTTTTATTTTTATGAAACATTACTATTTTATTGCTAATGTAAGCAGTTCAGTCTTAACCTAGCACTTTTACGGTAAATAAAACTCTGGTTGTGATTAGGTAAACTTATCGCATAACAAACCAACTGCACAGTGCACTTAGATTCAGATATAATGACTTTTAGTAACTAAACTAAGTCAAATGTGTACAACTTTCTGTCGTCATCCTTGTGATGTATATTTTTTTTTATAAAATGAAAGTAACAAAGGTACTTACAGTATCACTTGATGGTAAACGGATACTGCAGTACATGGTCGCCTTCAAACAAAGAAAGCTACAAATGTGTATTCACCCCTGAGGACTAAGATAAAATGCCTTACAGCTTATAATTATACAGGCTCTCTATACACTACAGACCGGAACGCGGCAGTGTAAGCACTGCTGTTTATTTCTGTTTATCCCTCTCAAGGCTTTTATGAGATAGGTATTGATTCTGAACGAGTTTTCCAAAAACATATGAAAGGAAAAATTGTAAACGAATGCCTTGTGTCCAGCAAAAAATTTTTAACATACTTGACATACATATGTTGATTCACCAGCAATATCAAAACATAAACATTTAATTATTAAATAAATAATCGATACTTCTTTGATTATTAGATTGAAGAATGAAGAAAAATTGCAAAATACCTCTAAGGAGAGCTTACGATATTTTTATAATAAATTAATTATTTTTGTTGGAAAATAAAATCGTAAACTTTATGTTTGTAGTTTTATTTTTATGCCATCAAACATAAAAATATTAATCTTATGACACGGACACAGCGATCTATATCGATAATAGAAGTTGATTGACAGCACTATTCGTCTCGCAGGCATGCACATTTCACTCACATCGGTACATTTCGTTTGTGGTCTCACCCTAATATAGAGATATAAATATACCTATGGAGACGGCATATTCAATTATAGAAATAATATTTATAAAAATATATATAATATCGACACACACTTGTCAAAAACAGTTTTAATTAATAGAATCAGGCGTTACTTTGCGGAAATCCATTATTTATTTATTTATTTATTTATTTAGAAAACCAACAGCGTATATAGAAAATATTAACATTAAGGCTTTAACTAGCCTGAATGACCTTGACGAAACGGCGATCGCAGAGATTTCAGCCGATGTCAACACCGTCTAGCAACTACGTTCTGTATTACTTATAAAAGTGCAAAGATTAATAGAGTGCAGAGATGACAATTATATAAGTGACATACTGCCTGTTATGCTTGCGCATCACTGAGAATTATGTCGCGGTTACGCATCTTCAATTACATTGCACGGTGTGGTGCTGTAGCTTTGTCCGGTAAGCATCACGAGCTATCAAGTGTTCAAGTTTCAAGTACGTAAGAATTTTTATTATATATGTTAAATCGTATTTATTTGTGTCGTATTAAAAATATGTCGTCAAAGCGTTCGCTGTAAATTTTCCCAGGTTTGATCCCCGACAGCACGAATGAAATTTGTAATTGCAATTTTCGTCAACACGCATTGGGGAAGCATGGCGGGCATTTCCTTGCCCTAAAACCCTCTCAGAAATAAAAAAAGAGTCCTGTGCCCAGTAGAGGGACTTGTATGGCCTATTACTTTACTTTATAGCAATATTTATATTCGTTTCAGATATAGAAGGGTACCTTATGCTGACAAAAATATCATGTCGAGGCGACGAAAACGTAAAACATCTTTGTACCTAGATAAAACGTTCGAAAGATTGTCAGTCATGTCATACGCCACATTTTCTATAGAGCGTAGAACATTGCAGATAGGGCAAAATTAAAAATAATCCAATATATTATGGGAACTATTTATTAATAATATATACATTTATAGGTATTTATAATAAAAATAATGAACAAGCTGCAAGGTACAACTAATAATGTTTTTTGTAAACACAATCGTAAAATTCTATCGTTTTAATTTTTACCAATGGTTAATTGATGAAACGTAGTCAAGATCACTTCATATAAAATATATTTAATTAAAATTGACACGTGACCTATTTGGCCTTCTACTTACAACTCGGCGGAAATTTGAAAATAAGATTTTGTCTTTTCACACAAGTATTGTTTACAACTGGCGTGGTTTCGAAAAGCGTGATTAAGTGTCAGCGGTATATAATCAATTAAATACTGAACTTTATTGAAATTTATTTTTTTGTTTATTTTTGTTATATCTTCTTAAAAACTGACGCCATCTCACTATTTTATTATTTGTTTTTTTTTGTACGCATAAGGATAAGTTAGACTCAGATAGATAAACTTGGATAAGTTTATATTTTTTTTTAATTTTTATTATATTTTTAATTCTAATCACAAAATTTCCGCAATAAATTATTACCTTTTCTACAGTGATTCTCTCCTCTTAGTTTCGGCGTGACTGTAGGATGTTATAGTGAGTCACCGTCAGTTACTAAGCGGCCATAAATCATTATATGTATGTATAAACATACATACATACATTTTTTGATTTTAATATTTATGTTTTTTGAATTTTGAATGATTTTTTGAAACCTGGTAAAATTATTTTTTTCCATACCAATTGATGGGCCTGAGTATAATGCCAGTTATGCTCTTTGGCTGAAGTTATTTTTTATTTTATGCTCAATTGCAGACAAAACAATATTGATTGCGCATTTCTAAAACAAAATTTTACCTCTTCTCCTTCTAATAATAGCTCCTGCACCTAACACGGCGGAATAGTTATTATTATCTATAAGACCATTTGCGAAAACAGTTTTTGTTAACAGTTATGAGTGTAACATTTTATCAGCTGCTTTGTTTATAGTGCCTTGAGCAACACTTTGCCGGTTTCTGTACAGAAAATGATGCTGGCTTTGCAAATACGGATGGCCGCTACTATTGAACATAATTTCCGCTATGTTACACTTATTTACATAGAAACTTTAATTATCATTTGCATAAATTTCTAAATAGCACTTTTTACACAAGAAAGTAAACTTTTAGATCAGTCCATTTTGTTTTTCACTAATTAAGTAAAAAGCAAAACAAACCAATAGGTCCAATTTAAACCAATTTTTATAGAAAAGCATGACCTTATCATAATATAATAGTCAATAATTTAGCCATGTGATAAAACTTTTAAGTGTGCCAGTCAAACATTAATGATGATATTCTGGTTATTATACTCGAAATAGTCTTTTAAATATTTTGTAGTACAATTGATAATCTTCAGTATGATTGACCGTGTATATGACTTTTATAAGTCTATGTTATTTTTGATGAAAATTATTATTGCAGATAAAAGCCCTTTCACATTTATTTTAGTCTCGAATTAAATTAATCAAAATGAAAATAATAACATTGGCTCTTTATAACTGATCTTTAAATGTAAAACACTGACTTGAAATTATATAATTATTGGCATTGTTTTAATTCATTGAACTTTTTTAAGATTTTGTTGAAACTCTACTGGTAAAAAAAAACAAATATATATATATATTATAGTTCTTGATGAAAATAATGTATGTGCGTTACATCGCATCCCATCAAGAAATGCTAATGTAATTCTTGGTGTAAAGCTAAGACGTGATAATAACTGTAAACAATAGAATAACAAAATAATGAAAACATTTACATTTACATACAAAACATTTAGAAAAATACTTACTTTATAACCTAATAAATATTATTTGACCGTAATAAAATAAAACAAGATAGTCTTGGGC